GAAGACACTAGCGGCCGGGGGCGGAGGGGGACAGTCAGCGGAAAACGCTGGCCAGGGATGAGGCAGTCGGAATTCAGACGGCGGTGTGTGGAGGAGAAGGCGGCTGGAGCAAAAGGAGGAGGAGGGAAAAGGGGTGTTGTCGGGGTCCGGGGACGGGGAGGGGGAGGGGTTGATGACGAAGGAGGAGGACGAGCGAGAGAGAGAGAGAGAGAGAGAGAGAGAGTGCGTGTGTGTGTGTGTGTTACCAAGAAAGATCCTGCCGGAGATCGACGATAGCCCCTCATGGGAGGAAGATGTCACCGCCGTTCGCCGATGGAGAGGAAGACACTGTTATTCGCCGATGGGGAGGAAGACGCCGACCGGGCGCTGTTAGGTTTTCCAATAGGGCACGGGGTCGTGCGGGCGAAACGGGGGGTGTTGTGTTCAAGAATGTTAATCCGCTTCGATCGAACCGGAAACAATGAACCCAAATCATTTACGATCGACCTGTACCACATTCGGCTCATGCGGACGCCACGGCCCAAGCGGCTCATGCGAGCGCCTGCTGGGCCCAGGCGCTCGAGCGTCCGATGACTTTACTTTTCGCAATCGATTTTACGGGTGGCCAAAGACTATTACCAATACGAGAATTAAATCATTGCTTAAAAGCTTTTGTTTTAACCCTTGCAATTAGCAAATTCCGGAAGAAGTATTACATGATCCTTCTTTCTGTTAGAGGAAATCACGATCGGTGTAAGAGATAATTTTATGTAATCTAAACCCAAGAGCATAAGAGTGTCCGGTGATAACTGAGGTAATTCCAATGTGGCTTTGAGATCACTCTGAGAGTCTAATGTGGTTATTCCAATGTGGCTTTGAGATCACTCCGAGACTCTAATGTGGAAATATAGAGCTCTTAGGTTATCACTTGTACTAAGACCGATATTAGAAGAAAAAAATTTGATTCAATCCCTCCGACGCCCAAGTCGGTGATCGATGTCTCTTAATGGATATAGGTTTTTATTGGGAAGAGAGCTCGTTGGTGTAGCGTCATAGATTAGTTTTTATACCGCCCCAACATCTCCCTATCGATACTTTGTCCATATGGGCGATAGGAGAGAGACAGTCTGGAGCGGCCTGTCTTAAACTTTTATCCATGCGAGCACACGAGTGGAAGGTGACATTGATCTTTTCCTTTCATAATAGTTTCCACATGATATTTATGTGTCGAACATATAAGTTCCTCCTGATCCTTTGGTCGCCGACCAATTAAGATCTATGTACCATCTTTGGACAGTCTAAGGGCGGAGGAGGTTGCATCCTCCTTTTCATCGAGGGAGGTATCTCCCATGAACCCGAAGGTTCTTCAAGACTTGGAGTTCATGAAAAGTTTATATGACTCTAACTCAATGGTGAGTGTGTCTCGCTTGAATTGCTTGCGAACTATGTATTATATCTCGGATGAGTTTGATCTATAGGTTCCTCGACTCGGTTAGTACTATTTCGACCCCACGCTCGAGTATTTCTATTTGTCTTACGATGCCCTTGAGATAAGACTTCATCTTTCCTTCCACCCGGTGATAGTGTTCTACCTCTAATGGTGAGGGATATCGTCTTCTCAAATAGCACCAAACTCATAGTGCTACTTAATATTGTTCATATGAGAATGACGATGTGTTGATATTACTCTAACCTACACCCTTTTCGCTACTTATTTTCAATTGTATAAGGATAAAAGTGACTATTACCTAGCCACTCATGGAGGTTTCATTATTAGTTGTTTATTACGAATTCAAGTTGAGACCAGGGATTCAACCTCACCTGGCCGGCACATTATATTGACAATACCTCTATATTTTTTATTAGATGAGGATACGGGTCAAGTGCTTTGATCGAGAGATACACTCTCATTCTCTAAGGCAGTTCGAAAGATGAAGGTGGACTGGCTGACCGACGCGAGTCTCAGCTTGACTCAGTGGAGTATGACCCGAACCTCCTATCACATTACTTCATCTCTTTTTAAAGTCCTCATCAGCTAGTTTTCATGACAGCAATGGTGCATTCATTACCTTCAGAGACACCGAGAGAGAGAGAGGGGATTCTCAACGACGCCCAACTGTACGCGCATAGGTATCACTGGTCCGGCCATGGGCTCGCGGCTTTCTTTTCGAATCAGGAGACGAGTAATACAAACGGGTAAGAAATGACGATCTTCAAGTAGAACAGTGGCCTTCATTGCCTGCAAAGTACATATAAAGTTCTTCAAAATCAGCAAAAGGTGTTTTGTCTGTCGAACTCTTAACATCAAAAAAGCGTCACTTTTTGGATCAACTCGAACTGACCTTTTGGTAAATGATACGATGGAGCATTTGATCTTTCGTAGTGTTCCTTAGACGTGATTTTCTAGTTGGTAAGGGGTACAAATGAGAAATTGTCTTTGAGTAAAGAGGTTGGAGAGGTAAACAAAGAAGAGGAACAGAAGAGAGACGCAACGAAGAAGACGAACGAGGTTTTGGGGGCGCCAGAAAAGGGGGAGAGAGAAAGCGGAGGAGAAGGAAGTGGGGGGAAGGAGAGGAAGGCAGCAGGGTAGTTGGCCTCGCATGCATCCAATTCGATGTCCGCGCACTGTTGCCTTGCTGAACTACCAAGCGGTTGCTCTGTTGCTGGCGTCATCGCTCGATTTATATTGGAAAGGGGGCAGCTCCTTTTCGATTTCGCTTGATTTCCCATTGGAGAGTGGAGCACCGGAGACCGTAGGGGAGAGAAAACGGTTGAATCTTGTTAGGGTTTCGCCCTCTCCGTTGTAATCTTGTCGAAGAAGTGTAGAAAGAAGATTGCGGCGATCGATAGCAGGTTCTCTCTCTCTCTCTCTCTATCTCTCTGTCTTAGGGTTCTGTTATCGGAAGTTTCTTTAGTTCTTGAAAACGCAATTGTTTATTCGTTTCTTGTTAGGGTTTCTTTGAACCGAAAGAGATAGTTCTTTATCTGAGCACTGGTTTTCAAGGGTTTTAGGTGACCGAGTTATAAGCTCTCCATGTGCTTGGAGTTTGTTGTGTTGATTCCCTTTTAGAATATAATTGCGTATGATGTAACTGTTGTTCGTTCCGAATAGGTACGGAGAAATGAAATCTTGGTCGTGAATTCTTTTTGGGTTGGTGGAATCTGGGCGTTCTGAAGTAGTTGTATCTGTTCTTGAGATCGAAAAAGGGTGCCTTTTGAAGCGCTGGCTAACTGTTCAAGGTTTTTTTTCCACTATCATATATTGTTCACGGAGAAACACGTAGAGCGCGTTAAATATTTGTAGTGGATTCCGATAAGATCGAAAGATTCTTGCTATGCATAAGTCACTTTAATTTAGTGCTTTCAAGACTTTATTGCTGTTATGAGGATGGTGATGGATCATGGCATCAATTTTCCTCATGGAGGAGTTTACCAGCAATCTTTTTGCAATCAACATGTACATTCTTTTCAACCAAAGGATGTAAACAGCACAACCAGTATTTTTCCTGGTGACATAAACACTTCAGGTGGAATAATTACAAAGACAGGGATGATATTGATTGGGAACTCCAGCACTCCAAACAATGTTTCTCCCATGATTTTGACCAGTAATCCTCCAGGAAATATCCTTCTCGAACCGGTGCCTGGACTTAAGCATATCGCAGCGTTTGCTGTTGATTGGTCCTGCGAGGAATTGGAAGTGTTGAAACAAGGCCTTGTCACGTAAGTCACATTTTGCAATTTTGTTTGAGAATTATTGCTTCTTGTTGTAGGTCCTATGGGCTATGTTTTATATGTTTCAGCTTTTTTTGGCTGTAAAGGTTATATGTTATGGATGCTTATTTTTTTTGGATGAAGAAACGCTAACCAGTACACTTGGAAAGACATCAAAGAACATTCATAGCTGCATGATATTGGCTAATACTCACTTCATTGCCGCTTATTACTACTTAATTGTTCTTAGCATTTTATAAAACGGATTCTTGGCCTCTACTGATCCATAACATGTCATCTGAACGACTTACTAGAATACTATAAAGTGTGAAGTTTGTCCTCAATCTGTTGTAAGCATCAGTCATTGTCTGCAACTACTTTTTTGTTCGACTTATTTTTGCATCTCAAAATTTCAGATATGCTAGTGAACCTAATATCATGAAATATATCAAGATAGCAGCTAGACTTCCCGAGAAGACTGTGAGAGATGTTGCAAAGAGGTGCCAATGGATGACTGTGAGTATTTCTAGAAGTTTAATCATGAATGCAGAATTTTTTTTTTTACAACATATCTTATTAGAAAGTTGTTGTGTGTGACCATTAGTATAGTTGGTTATTTGTATATATGATGCTTGCAGTTGTTTGTTTCCTAGTTTTTGTGCTTGAGCAGTTCAGAACAGTTTATTAAGTTTGGATATACCAATGTTTATGTAGGCATATCGTTATTTTCCTACCTTTTCTCTGAAAAGTTTCGAGTGACTTAAAGTGTGTTGCAGTTATGTAGGGTGATGCTGCACTCTTATTTCTGTTTACATGTCGATTGAGTTGGAAAGTCTTAAAGTCATCAGTTTTGAGTGATGACTGGATAGTTTGTTGAATTTATGTGGGGCCAGATACCCGCATAGTCATCAGTTTTAATGCTATTTTTTGTTGTATGATATGTGGTGACCATGAAGAGCATATTCTGTGTTTAGGAGAAAATCAATTTTTTGTTTTCTCATAAGCGGACACAAGAGCTGTAAAAGGCATTTGCACAGCCTATTATGAGGCTTGTTGTTTAACATATTGGTATCATGGCACTTGCGATTTTTGGTTCTGTTTGACTTCAGAACATTAAGATGAGTGCCAGCTATTGGTTAATTTTCTTATCATGATATTTGAAAGGACCTGGGATTGTGATCTGATAAGAAAATTGCTAAATTACTCCACTTATTCTTCTAATCTTTTTGCTGATCCATGAAATACCTGGATGATAAGTTCTATGATAATTTTCTGTCTTTATGACATTTTGATGCTTTTTGAGCACTATAGAGGGTATTTGCTTTGTAGATTTATTCAGCTGTCTAAATTATCTCAGAAGAGTTATTACTTGCCCTAGGGAGTTTCTAATCATGCTAATATTTTTGACCTATTTATAGAGGAAGGAGACTGGTAAAAGATGTAAATCTGAAGACCTTTATGCTGGAAAGAAAATCAAAGACAGAAAGGTAATTTTTCACATACTTCAACTTATTGACAACTCATGATCAACATTGATATTATATGTCACAGACTTTAGCTAGAAAGTAAGAATATTAGGTTCTTCTAATAATTTTTGTGCTAGTACTCAAGGTATGCAATTTCGAATAATATCGTCCGGTACGGGCGGTATGTATCGGTCCGTCAGCTGACCGGTACACGGACCGCTCGTTACCG